GAAAATTCCCAGTTTATTCCCATAAATTCCCGTTAATAGTTTCCATCTTTGAAAATTCCCGGAATTTTGCAACCCTACCTGTCATCAGCTCTAAAACTCATCATACATATTAAACCCAACCAGAGGTAAAACGTATAATAAAATGCAGAATAATATAATGATTTACTTCTATTACAGACTTTACGCCTTGTTAATGTGTCTTGTTATCCTGTTACGTCTTCGATTGCTGTGCACTGTATCTTTCACTTCTCTTAAGTGTTTATGGAAAATGGCCTGTAAATGACAAAGATGTACAAAAGCTGGCATTATCAGCTGGCATTTGACTCTCTTAACTTGGCACTTTTGACTCAAATGTTTGCAGCTATGTTGTTCCCAATGGGATGAAAATGTGCTTTAGACCGGGTATATGCAGGAATCCTGAAGTCAAATGTAATACCTTTTAAGACCTTTTTTAAGACCCTTTTCATACATTTTAAGACCTCATCGCCACTTTGAGTTTTAACCGGTTACATTGGCGACACACTTTACCTCACATTTACTATATACAGTATTGAATGTCCTTCCTCCTTATCTTCCAACCATTTGGACGCAAACTTGCATTTCCCCATAACGATGTTGTTTAACAACCGGCGTAAACGGACCTTCGCGCGCTATCAAGCAGTGAGCGTGCGATGTCCTGTTCAGATGACGTCAAATCCAACGGGATGCCATAAATAAACTACACAGAATCACACTGCACACCTACGCAATGATTACATTCAGGCAAACTGTAGAATACAACCTCTTTGGACAATTGATATACTTATTGAAAACAAGCTACAAAATGTAATACCTTGGAAAATGTCGTTTAATACTTTTTAATAGCCTTAATTTTCGCTAAATTGATTTATGAACTTTTAATACTTTTTAAGACCCCGCGGACACCCTGTTAGAGGACTTACAACACAGAGTCCATTTATACATGACTTCACAAAAGTTCCTTAAGCCTTTACCTCAGAAAATCCAAACCAGGTCTGCCTCCTGCACAAACTGAACTAACCATGTAGTACACTGAAAACCTTTTCTTATCAGTATGTCACTTGGTCCACAGCCATAACGCATACCATTTCATGGGTCACAAAGCCTCTAATAACCTGTTGCCAAGTGGGCCTTGGGTCTGATGACATGAGATGGAGCTGCACGTAGGCCACAGAGTTTGGCTGCTTGCAAAATAAACAGACATTAATGTGAAGGAAATGTCTGCACTGCAAATAGGAGGGTTCAACTTTTTCCTCCAGAAAGCTGTATCACAATACGTTAACGTACTCTATCATGCTCTATCCTTCTCAATGGTAGCAAGCATCATGACTCAACAAAAACTCTTTCTGCATTGTTTTCAACTGATATGTGTTATAAAATAAATTACTTTGCAGATGAACCAATATGATCCAGGGCTTTTGTAATGGCATGCTTTGCTGTTATAACACTGAGCCGCCCCTAAACTGAATTGGCCAGCCAGGGAGGAGGAGAAATAGGGGAGGAGAGGCGAAGGGAGCAGGGGAAGCAACCCAGCATGTTGGGAAGTTCAGGAATCTCAGGATATGATGTAGTATTTGCCCAGGCCTTGAGGGAAAGAACAGGCGTCCCTCAAGCCTCAACAGGGAGAGGGGGAAGGGAAAACATCCTCAGGAAAGATATTATCAAACTCAGAACCAAATGACAGCGATATGTCTTACCACTGTCAGCAAAATGAAAGTCATGATCGGACAAAGGTTGTACCCACTAATGGTGTTTAAAGCATACATTCTTGCCTCACACTTTGTATGCCTGCTGATGCAATGAAACTGGGCATCAAATGTGGTCAAATGAGTGCCAAGGAAGAAATTAAATATTACACCTGATATTGATACGATTGTTCCCTCCTGAACCCCAGGTGTTGGTTCTGAATGGCAGCTTTTGCTCTTATCAGAGGCTCATTTCGTGACAGCTATTAAACCAGATATGTTTCGCTTTGCAAGGCATTCAATACCCATTTAGCAAATTCTTCCCTGTGCTCCTACAGCAGTAACTCACACTGTGCATGGATGAAGCTCCAGGGTCTGTGAGCTCCAGCTCTCTTTGCTGTTATGTTTCTGACAGATCACATGAGACAGGGACCCAGAGAGCCTGACACTAGATCTGCAGATAAAGGGTCTGGATAGATCAGGGAGCTATTGTGGCCAAGCGCTCATGACAAAGCATGAAGGGCCTTGGAGTGGCGGATACATTTCATTTCCTGGACTTTGCCTGAGAAACAAACATATTCAGATAGCCTGTCCCATGTGAGAGCTTGTCCTAAGCATAGAGGGCAGAATCAGGACACGGGAGAAGATATCCAGGAGAAGGTCAAAGGTTCAGGGAGTTGACCATTGAGTTGGAGAGTCAATTCAAACATTTTAACGTTACTTGGCAAACAATAAGGTAACAAGTTACACACATGTCCATGGCCTTCTGTTGCAGCTCCAAGAGCTCAGAGTGTATAGTCAAAGTATGGCTTAGTACTGGATCAGCATAGATCAGTTTTTTTATCTCAACGGTGACTTATCTGCAAACCACTAAAACAGTACTCATGCATGGTTTTACGGGGAGTTTCTTTTAGTCCGAGAGGGGATCTTGAGGGATGTGTCCCCTCTATGATATTACAATCAGCACAGATGCTACTGTACAGGTTTACTACAAGTGGTTTGTGTTTGCAATGTCAATCAATGAAATTGGTTTTAAAGTTATTTTCTCTTTGAAGCAGCATTTCCAATCTCCTTCGAGCTTGTTGTCATTTAAGTGGCCATGAGTCGTGTCTCTCATACAGGAATATACTATCTCTTACTTCCACCTAGAAAGCTGGCTTGTTTTTTTTTCCCAACCCAGGAATTTGCTGTGAAGGAACGCATCAAAATGCCATTTCAATCACTTAACATTAAATGGTTTGACTTTGGGAGCAATCTACAATTCACTGGTATCAACGAGAACAAAACAAAGAGGGTAAGCACGTATAAAATGTTTCAAAACATAAAGGTGAGAAAATGTATTCCTTAAATCTGATCTTAATGTAACTATACCTGGACTGAAAACATAGCGTCAGAGTATTTGGAATTCAAATGATTGTAGTTTGATCGGTTGGATTGTGCTATATTTGGAGTATATTGACAGCAGAACACTCTGTACCATGTGACCTTCACTGCCACCAACTGTCTGTCTGCCTCTATAACAACGGTGCAATAAGCTGGAACTTTGGAATTTAAATAAACTTCATGATAAATGTGCTTGATAATAATCTGAGCCACAGATCATTACATTCATCTTGACTGTTCCCAGTGCCAAGGGTTTCATAAGGTCCTAGAAATCCTTGCTAACTGGGTTGGACTTTTCCCCCGTGGAGTTTGGCTGGAGATATTTCATGTCCAATTTCCTATCAGACTGGTTGACTGGCAAGTGCAGCGTAAACTGATACAGAAACATGTAAAAGCTTAAGAGTTACGTGACAACCAGTGAGGGTCATGGATGCAATGAAGATGTCAATCATTTGAGTGGTTAGAAAATAAATTAAAGTAACAAGAAGCTGAATGTGTGAGGATAAATAAATAAATTGGGGACCACATAAGTGTTTTTCTGAGTGGATGTCTAACCAATTACAGTCGTGTTAATAGACCAATTTATATTCAGCTGAACATGAGGCAGTTTTGTACATGCAAATTATCCTTGAAGCTTTATTTGCTTCTTTTTTCGGCCCCTTCCCCCATTCTGGAAATCTGGTATCACTGACCCTTGCTTTGGCCTGGCCTACATTTTTGGTTTTATACAACACAAACAAGACTCTCTGTGGCTTACCATTAAAACCACACATATCACAAAGACACTGTACGGCCAGCAGTATATTTTCTAAATAAACATCGTATCGGTCTGCAATCAACTGGGTAACTATCACAACGGCGGTCACAGTACACATTTGCACAGTGCACACTACGACTATTTAACGTTTATTAAATGATGCTCATTGTCCACACCACATGTAGGAGCATGCGAGTAATTGTCTGATCATACTTGACTTGCCAGTTCTTCCAAGGAAAGATTACAACATAAAACTACTGGATACTAAAGCAGTGTACATCTATATAAGATGAAACAACAAAAACAAAGAGATAAAATACGAATTATAGGACCTGGGAACAGTATATTAATTATTATTAGATGCAAATCATTCCTGTGGATCAATACAAATAAAAAAATAAATGTTACTTTGTTAACTAGTAAAAATATATAAAATGCATTGCATTGCTGTCAGAAGCTATGAGAATGGCATTTTAAATTAAATCTACTTTTCAGTGTATTGAACCTCAAACCTTGCAGTAACAAAGTACAATTGTAAATTGTAGAGGTAATAGTATACTACATCCTGCTCAAGCTTCCTTTAGACATGTTTTCACTGAACAAACAGGAACCGACAGCGGTAAAATGGCACACCTCAAGGAGTGGTGGGATATGCTCACAATATGGCTTACTGCACAGTACTGGGACCATATTTAGATATATAGACTGTATACTTAGGCTGTTGTAACAAGCACTATACCACTATTTGTATTTGACTATTTAAATTCAATAAATGAACTTGTTTTTTTAAATGGGGGCGCAGGTGCTGCATGATTACTAAATACTTTGTAGAGTGATCATGGAAAAGGTGAGCGTACACAGGGGAACATTATTAAAAAGGGCAGATTGACACACCTCATGTATTCAAGTTCATAATACGACATCAATCCATCTCACCCTTTTACCAACTACAAACAGAATATGGATCTTGAAAGGGCATCTTTAAACCCTTTTTAAGTATGGAGTTTGAGAACACTGCTGTTAGAAAGTCTTAAGAGAATTGATCCTGGCAAACCATGTGAAACTGACGTGTTCATACAAGCACCAATAGACAAGAAGAATAAATAGAGTTATTCACACATACAAGTGTAGGCACAGAAACAAACACAAAGTATTACCATGCCTCCAGGGGTCCTTGGGCTCCACTGCTCCAGATATAATATCCTCATCTGAGGGAAAAGTCACCGTTTTGCCAGTTGGTTTGTGTTTATCGTCCCCCTCCTCCACTGAAGGGTACAGTCCAGCCGGGCCCGTGTTAGAGGCTTCTGTGCTGCCTGTCTGGCCTGCATCTGAAAGGCTCTCTGCCATGCTGCCAGCTGGGACATCCTGAGACGTGGACTCCGAGTCTAAAATATTGTCTGAAAAAGATTGGACATTTGTTGATTCCGCCTCCAACACCCCACTCTCATCAAGACTCAGATCCACACCTATGTCCATGTCCCCACCATCATCCCCTTCTTCAACAACAAATGTTGCAGGATCAGTGTCTTTTTCTTCCTTCATTTTCTCAACCACAATATCATCCTTGTGCTGCTCATCATTAGAAAATATCAAGTCAGTAGGATTCACAACAGCGGGGGTGTCTTGAGCACTGCCTTTTGTATTTCCATTGACCTCATCAATTTCCAGTGTGTCTTGTGCCTGGTGATTGTCCTCCTCAGCTGCCTGAAGGTTGTCAGTGAGCTGAGGCATCAGGTATGTTTCTGGGGCCCCTGTTGGAACAATGTTTTGTATTTCTGTGGTACTGTCCGTCATCAGTTCAGAAATCCGGGGGGTGACCCCTTCAGTGTTGTTGGTAGTGTTGTGATCATCGTCCACATTGCTTTTTGTCTTGACGTTGCACAAATCTAGACACTGCTCTTCGATATTCATGTTTTCATTTCAAGTGAAACTCAGTCTTTCACTGTGCCAGACAGCCTGGATACTGGATTAAAGAGTAACTAGTAACCCACTGACATGAATAAGACTGTTTCTGGTCTTTGTCTTACAACAATGTACGCTAACGTGCACCTAACCCTTTCCTTTATGGACCAAATTATATTCAAGTGCAATTAGGAAATTAATTATATTTTTTAACTAGTTTGTTGTACTTTTTACAATAGTTTTCAAAAACCACAGGTGACTTTGGTGCATCCTTAAAATGTGATAATTACAGTGCAGTTTAACACAAATATAGTTTAAAGAAATATGTGATGCATATGTGAAATAGATATTCAGACAACTTTGCACAACCAGGCAGGCAACCAACACACTTGATAATGTATGTGTTATTGCTCCAAGTGGAAACCGACGAAACGCTCGCTGTTCGTCAGCACATTGCCAGCAGTATTTAAGAAGAACAGGACAGTCAATTGAAATAAACAAGCTGTCAGGGTGCATCCATTACGCTAGCAGAGGGAGCTTACTGCCTGACACCAAACCAATTCATTTGCATGGATTTGAGGCGAGCTAATGTTAGCTAGCTTGCTAAAGTTGTTGCCTAACGATGACGTCCAGGCCCGGGTACGGTCGCATGCCAGCTTCTTTACGTGAGCCCGTCTGTTTCTCCACCATTCTTCAGTGTCAAGACAATTCTTTTTCCGGTTCTTGTCTCACCCTCTGTCGTGCTGCAACTCGGCTGCTCGCATCACAACCCTCGACCAGCGGCAGCCAGAAAAAAAACAGGCGTCACAGTCCGAGCATTGAGCATGTTTCGGTGGCTAACGTTAGCGCTAGGCAACCGTGCCGAAGCTACACCTGCCGGTACGAACAGTGCTGTTTAGGATGATGTTATGAAGCTGTTCAGACCGCTCCGGTGTCGTAGATTTCCCTCTGTCCGGGAGAAGTACGTTGAACCTGTTTTTGTCTAGCGTTACCATTCGCTAGCTTGTTGAAGTCCAACAACTGTTTGTTGTTCACACGTCTGACGTCAGCACGTCGTTAACCACAGGGGTGCGTTCAACAGACGCAGGGTTACGGAGTCAGACAGTTGCACAAAAATATATATATTTATAATTGTTAAAAATGTATGGACTATGGAGGAATATTAAGGTTACAGAATACAGCTCAAAAACAATGGTGGGATGTAAATAAATACATTTAATCAAAAATGTACTAACGTAAAATAGAATTACTGCGAAATTGTACTTGAGTTTATATTATATTTATATACAGCCGGAAGAAATCTGCTACTTCCTTGTGTGGGTGTTTCTCAATCGCGAGTATGCTTGCTTGGTAGCACATGTCTGCTGAGCATCTTGCTTCAGAAGCGAGTCAAGAATACTTCCTGGCATTCGGAAAACGAAGTGTGGAACACGCTAGCAAGTGTGCAGGTGTGCGTCATATGAGAGGCCCCGCCTTACATCTTCCGCCACAGATTTGGGGAAATTGGTCCGTGCGCAAAGCATTGTGGGGATTTTAAGACCGCGAAGTCTACTCATGTGCAGACACGATATTTCTCCAAACGGAGTACGCCGGGCTCGGTAGATTTCCAAGTATACTGGAGATTGGAACAGTACTTCGGCGGCACTCGATGACGTAGTATGCTTGAAATAGTGGCTCTGAAGCAGCTTTACTCGCGATTGAGAAACACCCCCGTGTCAGGGCCTACATAGCCCCTCCTCCAACACACACGAACGCGCACATGACCAATGAGGGCACGAGATAAGTTTGTGCACAGATGGAAGGCTGACAGGCAGGTAGGCCATCCAGTTATTTTAGCCGGGCCGGCTAAAATGATTGGTCGTGCTTTTTACAGTACTACGGCTTCCACAGATGAAATTATTTTATGGATTTGTTGTCAAAGCACTTAAGATAATCATTGCTATCGGGATGTTAAGAGCATTCCATGGAATAAAACAAAAAGTGTATCTAGAGCCGGTTTCTCAAACTTACCTACCCCACCTTTAAGTTACTAGTTACTTATTGTATTGCAGACTTGGATGAATACAACATATAAATCAATAAATCATAAAACATTTTATGTTTTAATTTAGTAGGCTAACATGCAGCAGAGGTGGAAGAAGTACTCAGATCTTGTAGTTGTACTTCTTCCACTTCTTCCACACTTAAGACCACTGTTTAAAGATATGGAGCGATATTTAGGTAAAGCATTCAGTTGGTGGAATGTAAAGGAAAACATGTTACGTACTTGGGTACAGTTTTGCAGTAATTCTATTTTACTTGAGTATTTATATATTTTTCCATCATTATACTTCTTTATATTTATGTGACAGCTTCAGTTAGTACTTTTATTGCAGACTTAAATACATTTAAATTAATAAATCATTAAATATGCTTTTAATTTAGTAGGCCATCATGGGATTCTTAAATGGGCTATTTTAGCCCTGTATTTCAATACTAATACTGAAGGACCTTTACTTGTTAAGGTGGTAATTTTATTTAAAAAACGTAAGTATTGCTACATTTACTTAATTTAAACTTTTACAAAAAGACTAATGACAGTGATGCTTAATTTGTATTGTTATACTTGCTATCTGATCATATTATTGGACATATTCCACAAAAAGAAAACTGTATAAAATCCTCCCAAGTAAGGTTTAAGGTCTGATTACATAAAGCAGCCAAAACAAGTCAGGTTGAAATGAATACTTTTGGAATAGCATGCGTATTTAGACTGTTGCAGTCAATAACTTCACATGAGAAACTCTTACGTTTTGAGATGTATCCAAATTGAACTGCCAGGTCAACCTTTTGTTCAGTTGTTGCTGATCAGAAATGTAAATCATGAGTGGTGCCTAATAGTAAACTGCAGCAATGTCACTTGTTTCTCAACAGCATGTGGCTAGTTGGACAGCAACATAGTTCTGCAGACAAAATTGCATCTTTATCCTAAAATAAAAATCACAACCTGCACATATTTAGTGTCCTAGGGTTGCTGTTGGCAGAGTTTATCCTACAAATAATCAGTGAAACTTGGGATACCTCAAAGCGCATGCAGTTTCCTTAGCTAGGAAGAAAGACATTGAGCACTTTTCTTAGCATTCAACCAATTTTGCTTATCTGTTATGAAAGTGTCAAATAAGGCAAGCATCAGTTTAAAAAAACACAACACTTTATTATAACATTTGTAAAACATGTACAGTATATTATTAAAACTCTATCGACTGAACAACTTTAGCTGGACTCTCGTCCCTGGGCGCCTTGGTTTTCTTGGGGACAAGGATTGTCTGGATGTTTGGGAGGACACCACCCTCAGAGATTATGACTCCTGCCAGCAGTGTGTTGAGCTCTTCGTCGTTTTTCACTGCCAACAAGATGTGTCGTGGAGCAATGCGACGCTTCTTGTTGTCACGGCAAGCGTTTCCTGCCAACTCCAGGATTTCAGCACAGAGATACTCCATGACTGCTGCGAGGTACACTGCTGAACCATTGCCGATTCGCTTGGCATATTGGCCTTTCTTCAGCAGCCTGTGGATGCGGCCCACTGGGAAAGCGAGCCCTGCTCTGGATGACCGGGACACAGATTTTGGTTTGGACACAGCTTTCTTTCCACGGCCAGACATCTTCAATCTGGAGTTGAGAGACAAGTTTAGAGTCAATTCAAATCAACACATATCCTCCTTCAACTAGAGATCCCTAACAAAGAGCTGCTGTCTAAAATTAAGGCTTACAGAATTGTTGAGTCATAAGGCTAAATGGCTTTCATAGGGACCTCTTGGAACGTTTGAACATTAGAGCCATCACCATCTTATAAAGCACAACATAACAAATGATACTCAAAACTCTTGCTGTAGAACAAAATCAAACATAAATGAACACTCACCAGTATTCTGCACTTCCTTCAAGTTGAGACAGGAGCTACACACTGAACCACAGACTACTGGTTTTATGTGAGTCAGCCAGTAATTGGTTGATTGATTACACCTGGCTCCTCTGCTTCATGGATGTCCTTCAATTAAACCAGACGATGCTAACGCTCACACACTAAGTACCAAACTAAAACCTTTGTGAACTAGATCCCAATAACAGCCTAAAAAATATCTCTTCTAGCTTTAGATGTATGCGCTGTTAGTGGTAGCAGAATTACCTAAACACACAAATATTGTTTAAATTAGTGGAACATTTAATTAAAATCATTTATGGAAGTACAACCTCCTAATGAATCAAACTTTAGGGATCCCAAATGTGCTAGATTAGATTGGTACAATTTAAGCAAGATTTGTTTGTGTAAAGTGAAGTGGTCTGTAACTAAGAACAAGAAGTAAAGTAAGAGCTGTTTCTTTCAGTTTTTTTACTCTAAATTAAGATCTAAAATCAACTGAAGGCTCTAAGTCAAGATGGATGTAGGCCTGACACAATTATCATCTTTCCCACTTGAGCTGATAAAACTTCAACAGCAGATGGCAGCACAATCCTCAGATTTAAAACATGCTCATTAAGACCTTAGTGCACCTGATAGGATTTTAACAGTCTAGTATAGATGTGAACAGCGCCAAACGTTGAAGTTTTAAACCAAAATGTCAGCCCTTGAACTCAGACTTAACTTGAACTGTATCTTTGCTCAGTTTTGGTTGCACAGTGATGATACTTATACCATTGGAATCTCAGCTTTCATGAGATCTCTAGTTTGTGCAGATCCGATGAAGTATAACATATTTCTACTGTGAGTTATGTGCCAAGTGCGTTAGCACTCTTTCGCTTGGTGCTAATTCAGACGCTCGGCGTTAGAGTTATGTTTTGTTTAGGTAAAAATTGTTCATATCGTCAGGTAGCTGAATTTCTTCCAGTTAAGTGGGTATGACACATTAATAGGTTGTTAAATGTTAAGCCCTGAGACACAGTTTCGTGAATATTGTTGTTTTTAGCCCCCGGGGGCTCCGGGCTTAACAGGTTTAAGGTGGTAATTCTATTTTTAAAACTTAAAGGGGACC